ACAGGAACATGTGCCTTGCGCAGGGATGGGTGGTGACCTTCGGGGCACAGGAGAGACGTGTCGCTGTTCCCCTGATCCAGTCCCGGGGAGTGGGGGGTAGGGCCGAGGCCGGTAGAGCACCCTGAGACCCCTTCCCCGCGTTTTGCTCCCGGCTGGCTGACCTGGCCACGAGGCCACCGGGCTGTGAGGAGGCGTGAGAGGAGCAAGGGTGCAGGCTCTTAGGCCCGGTGGGAGAGCGCAGTCGTCACGCCTTCAGAGCAATGCAGAGATCCGGCCAGGAAACGTAAAGTCACAAAGAAATTAGTTTGCCACCATGCAAGATGGCGGCAGCTACATCCCTTTCTGGTGGTGGTGGCCCCTGGCCGGACAGTCAAGAAAAGCCCTGGGTCAGCGTGGTCCCCAGGGTCCGGAGACCACCCTCCACCCCCTCCCGCAATCCTCCTCCGCCCTCAGGCAGGCCCTCAGCCCACAGCCCTTCGACCTTCCCCACCCATCTCAGCCAGGCCTTCAGGCCCAAAGCCCGCGCCAGCAGCCCCCCGGCCGCTGACCCCTGTTTACAAACACAGCCTGGGGGCGGGGTGGGGCCGGCCAGAGCGCGGGCCGGCGGGGTGGGGGGGGAGGCCGCGCGCTGCGGAGGACGCCACCAGCAGAGAGGAGCGCGGGGCTGGTGCGAGAGAGCGGGCCCGGCAGCTGGAAAGGACTGAACGCCTTGTTTTTGAAACTGTCAATTCCCTCAACCCCTATTGTGAGGGCTTCATGCAAAACATCTCAGGCCTTTTAAAGTAGGAGCTTGTGAGGCCGCCACAGTTTGAAAAGGAGCGAAAGATGAACGGGGGCCTAGGGCATGGGCAAAGAATGATAGCTGGGCCCCCTTCTTCTTCTTCTTCTTTTTTTTTTTTCTTTTGAGCAAGAGGGCCTGCCAAACAGGTAAAGTGCAACCCTCCCCCACCTCCTAGCTCAGCCCTGCGCCCCCACCTCCCAGGCGAGTTTGCAAAATGCCCTTTGGCCTAGGGAGCAAACTAAAGCACCGCCAGCATCACACACAGTCCTTCCTTGCAGGAAGAGGGAAAATCCTGGGCATGACTGGGGTGACCGGGCGGGCTCGCTGAGTTGGATACCCTGTTCCTCCTGGCTAGTTCCCTGAGGTTAGCTGACAGGGAGCTTTTTTTTTTTTTTTTTTTTTCCTTCCTAGTTTTGCTCTGGGAACTCCTTCTTTTTACATCCTTTGCAGCAGGAAGTTATTTCCCAGGTGAAGCAAAACTCACCACATTCTTTTTCTTTTGCAGATTTGCTACTGCTTTATTTTTATTTTACCATGGAGGATTTTTGTTTTAGCTTTTCTTGCACGAAAAAAAAAATGCTTTTGAGGAATTAATTTCAACATCTCATCCTGCAAACAAAACTATCATTCTTGTATCAGCAGAAAATCCCAATTCTTGTGAACTAGAATTTTGAGGCATTTCTAGAACATTGAAAGTCACCCAGACACGAAGAAGAATTCACACACCAGCCCATCTAGTTTAGGTTATTGCTGTTTAGTGGTGGCTCCTAGTTGTTGACTTTCAAATAAACAACCATTATTGAGATGACTCCATTGTAATCAAGTAAGCCAGTAGAAAAGAACAACCACTTTTAAAAGCAAACAGTTGGCCAAAAAACAAGCTGCATTTTCCATAAAGGCAGATAACCTGACTGTGGAAGACAGATACATTTCTTTTAGAAATAATTAAATATTGGCTTCACAGTGTTATCAGATAATTTACTTTTATGGGAGACCAAAAATGAGTTTGTTTCTCCAAAAAGTCAAAGATCCTCTCCCTGCATTTTCTCCCTGCCTGTGAATGCATGTTGCAGGGCAGATTCAGGAATCGCTGACCCTGGAGCCACAGAGAGCTTAAAAAAAAAAAAGAAAAGAAAAGAAAAAGAAATCTGGTTCCCTGAAAACGTTGCAATGTAAAAACACAATCTATCAATGGAGGTAACTTTTGTTTTTCTCTCAATAAGGCTTAGCTTTCTGAACAAATGGGACATTTATAGCAGCCTTAAAAAAATCTAGATATTGTCATTAATCATCAAACAACCAAAATAAAATAAACTGTACTGAGAATAATTCCCACAGCAGGTTGGGAAAACAGCTAAGGGGCTACCAGGACCTGAAAGAATACCTTGTGCTTGCAACTCACTGCACACTATTTGGTATACTTTCCTGACAGAAGCCCCAACTCAGGTTTTGCTGTGGTTGGCTGGCTTAGGGCACTACTATAGAGTGGAATTTGTGTTGACTATTTAATTTCTTTCCTTTTGATGGTATCACTGGAATGCTTCGGCCTCCATGCTGCTCAGTCTCCAGCTCCTATAAACTGAAGCTATTGATTCTCTGAGGGCAGGAGACCAAGTGTCAAAGCTGGAGGCTGATATTTTATGTCAGAAATTCCAGAGGGCATATTTGTTTTAAATTGTGCTTATTCTATCTATGGTCCTCCTACACCCAAGATCTGCTGTAGACTTCATATATATTCTCAATTTATAGTTTAGGAACTGTGAGTCCATAGGCAACATGAAAACTACTAGTCTAAATGTAGTAGTCCCCATACTTTGAACTTTCCTGACTTAGCAGTAATTAAAGAGTAGAAATTGCAGATCTCCACTGTGTGTGTGTGTGTGATAGAAAGAGAGAGAGAGAGAGAGAGAGAGAGACTTTTACAGATTGATTTTTCAGGACAATTCATTGCAATTCTACATTGCCTTCCAAAGAGGGAAAAACTCAGCCTGAGAAACCCATTGTTCAGCTTTCTGGGGCTTGACTGTAACATGGACTGGTTTTTGGAATTACACACAAAGTTGAATTCAAGGATGACATTCCCACATTTTTGCTTTGACCATATCTACCATTCTAATAATAAGAAGAATAAAAAGAATCCAGTGAAATGACATCTGGCAATATTCAAGAAGGAAAGGAAGGGAGGCAGGTCAGAGCATCTATTTACTCCACCCACATGTATTTGGATGCAGGTACTCCCAGCATTCGTCCTTTACAGTAAGAGGAAAACCACAGAGCATATACAGCAGTTGGGGCTGGGACCATCCAGATCTATCTGAAATATTTATAGACAAAAGGACATTTTCAAAGGGAGTAGAATTAAAAGGTTACATATATATATATTTAATATATGTAATATATATTATATATATATACATACAACCACCACCACTAGACTGAATTTCCATGAGAAATAGTGACTTAAATTGATACAGTAAACATTTCATGGTGTTTTGCTTTGATTTGTGATTTATGATCTATAGATGCAACTGAGACTCAGGATAGCAGAGATCTGAGTTACATAATTTGTCAGGCCAAGGAATGTGAACCAAAAATTATTAGATTCGACTTTCATTAAAATAACAACTGACCTCTGCTTCACTTTCTTAAATGGGAAACATGTTATACTTGATTTTTAACAAGTTTGTAAAGTTTTCTTGTTATTTGGGAAGATACCCATTAGTGTTTTGTACAGAATCTGACTGACCTGATCACATAGTATTACAACAAAACACTACACCCAGTAAATGCATTTCTTTTAGGCAAAAATATTACAAATGAGAATGTCAACAAAACCATTCATTCCTGTTAACCGTTCTTCAATCTGGAATAAGTAGAAATGTATGGAACCAGGAATTTTAAACAGTGTTTTTAATTGAAAATAAAGCTAAAGCATGCTTTTCAACAGTGCAAATTTCCATAATTTTGATTTACTGCTTCCATCATCACAACACAGTACCCCAGCATAGCCCTTACCAAGGGCTAGATAGACCCTAGCCATTTGCATGTTGAACTACTTTTGATTTTAAGTGCAAATATAGATAGTCACCTCTGATTGTCACTTGCAGTAGAAATTCTCCTGCTGTCTACACAGGATGGTCTGAAAACAAAAGTTTAGAGGGATGCAGAAAAAGTACAAGCTAATAAAATCCAAGTGCCTGAGTTCTGATACCAAAAAGCCCTGAAGTAACTGTTATTTTTCATTTGGAGTATTACAACTCTGACCCCTCATTCTCCTCCTTTTGGTTGTATTTACTGCTTTGTCACTAAGAAAAGTTAGATCATAACGTAGCCTGTTAGTGAGGGAAATGCTTCAATTGTTTTGCAGTTTGGAAAAGTCCTGTTCAGACCACAAGGTAAGCAGGACAATACTGAGTCACCTTATTACAAACCTTGGGTGAGAACACAATAAGGACTTTTCCAGTCTCAAGGAGTGGCTGTAAAAGTAAAATCACACACCTTACCCCTCCCCCTCCAAAAATCAACCCCCCCCCCTTTTTTTTTTTGCTTGGTATATATGAGGCAGCTTTAACTAGGATTCAATCAGGACTCACACCCCAATCTTTCCACTAAAAAAAAAAAAAAAAAGTTTAGTGCAACTACTCTTGGAGAGGAAATGAGGGGAATAGAAAGAAAAAAAGATATCCCACAAACAAGAGCTCCAGAAAACAACATTTTGGGCTCTTAGAAACTTCCTGCTACCTCATTGTAACCATGTAAGCTAACAAACTTTCACTGAATTAACAGTTATACTTTCAGGTCTGAAAACTAGTGCATAAACTTAATGGCTCATTGTAATATTTATTATTCAACCTTTTGACATTTATTTGTAGCAGTTGAATTGAGGTACCGGGTGCATTGTTAGCATTGAAACAGTTAAGTGTTCCAGCTCCACTGTAATAACTGAGTTTTACTTGAGTCTTTAGCCTGAAGTAGACTGTAGCATGTAAACCAACCCTTCTCCCACCCTGCCCCCACCCTCCACAAAAAAAAAAAAAACACCAACAACTCTGCAATGGGGGAAAACAAGGTAATCCGATTTCTGTCTTCAAAATGCAATAAACCAGGACTCCAAAGGGGGGGGGGATGTAACACATTAATGGACTCGTACAAACCATCCTGTGCAGTTTACAACAAAAGGAAGGTAATATGGTTCAAGAAAGTATCTTCCAAAACATTTTTATGAATTAAACTTCCTGAATTTGTGACTAGGTGGAAGAGGTATTGCAGAACCGCCCAGCTGCCATTTCCATATAGGATGGGCCTTGTGAGGAGGTTGGGGCTCCTTAGTGGTATTTAAGGAATACGCCGGCCACAAATCCCCATCCTTCCCAATAATGAGTGATGGTGGACAAGGAAAATTTGCCATGAAATTAAATGGCCTTTTCACTGCTGATGCTACATTGCTGGCTACCTTTTTGCGTCTGTTTATGACTGTAAAATCATCCAGTGTTCCTTCATGTGTCTCAGGTTTACCTGTAGGACGAGGGCTTCTAGCTGATTTCAAATTTGGTTTGACTGGAGGTGTCTGAAGGACAGGTCGCTTTCCCAGTACTAGTGTCCGATAATTTTTTCTCACCCTGGCACCAAATTTATATTCCCCATCCTCAGGTTTTGGAGAACCTAAAGTGCATGACAGGCCCTGACTCTGTGCCAGCGGATTCAAGGAAGGCGTTTCTTTCTCAGGGCATGCAAAGCCTTCCTTGGCTGTGGTTAACAAGGCGTCTTCCTCCTTACTTTCAGTCACACTGTAAAACTCACCCTTTGTATCATTGCACTCGCACTTTAGCTTATTTGTAATGAGGTCAGGTTCGTATTCCTCATTGGCACTACTGTCTTCTACTTTGATTTTAATATTGTGCAGAATTGGCAGTGTCTTGTCAGCTGTGTCAGCCCCTGGGTTCTCAGCCTTAGTTGGTGCCTCTGCTGCTGCTGCACCCACTTCGGGATCAGTTTGCGAAGAGGGCAAATCCGTAGCAAATTCCTGACAATGAGGGATTTTGGAATCTTTTTCCGAATTTGCTGCTGCTCCTGAAGATTCATTATTTAAGAACCTGGCAACTATTGTGTTGTTATCTGCACAGTGTGTTGTAGGAGTTGCTTGTAGGCATTTCCTAGCCTCGCGGAGTATTCTTTGTTGTGGAAATGCATTGTTTGTCTTTGGGCTAGGTGAAGAGGCCCCCTCTGCCAGGCAGTTAATTGTCAGGTCAGTTCTCTTTACAGTACTGGAAATTTCAGAGTGTGGGAATGTAATCTCAGATACCCTATCGTTTCTTATCTCTGGGAAACAACTCCCCAGGCTGGCCGGGCAGTACACCGGAGACGCTTGGGGGGCCCAGTCCTGCAGATTCCACTCCTCTGGCGATTCGGCTTTGACACCACTCTTGAGGTCGGGAAGTCTGCCGGCATCCTCGAAAGCAGCGGGTTTGGTGGCGGCGGTGGTGGTGGTGGTGGAGGCCAGATGGTACAAGAAGTTGGCCTGCGCCTGCACGCTGGGCGGCTTGCAGAAGCTGGTGCGCCTGAAACGGATGCTCTGCACTGACACTTGGCTGGAGCCGGAGCTGGAGTCCGACTCTGTGGACGAGTCCTCCTCCTCCTCCTCCTCCTCCTCCGAGCTGACTTCACTGGAATCCGAGGCCCCACTGCCCCCCTCCTCCTCTTCCTCCTCCTCTTCCTCCTCCTCCTCTCCCTCCTCCTCCTCCTCTTCCTCCGAGGACACAGAGTTGCTGGAGCTGGACAAACTGGAGCCAAAATCCGAGTCGTTGGCTGCGTGGTCCGAGTAGGAGCTGGACTCGGAGTCGCTGCTGCAGCTCTCGGGAAAGCTGCCCAGATGGGGCTGCGGCCGGTGGTGGTGAGGGGGGTGGTGGTTCTGCGGCAACGGCGGCTGGGCCCGATGGTGGTGGTGATGATGATGGTGATGGTGGTGATGGTGATGGTGGTGGGGAGGCGGACAGAAGCTGTTGACCAGATGAAACCTATCCAGGCAAGTGGCCCCCGCGGCCGCCGCCGCCGCCGCCGCTGCTGCCGCCGCCGCCGCCGCGGCCGCCTTGGCTTTGTAGGACCTGGGCAGCAGCAGCAGGCGCCGGGCGCCCGAGTGCGGCGTGAGCAGGCAATCCTTGGCGCCCCCTCGCCTGCGCTTGCACCGGTAGCTCAGGCTCACCGGGCCTCCCGCCCCGGCCGCCGCCGCCTTGGGCTGAGTCCCGGAGGCCGACGCCTGGTAGTAGGCGGCGGCTGCGGCGGCGGCGGCGGCGGCGGCTGCAGCAGCGGCGGCGGCGGCGGCCGGGTGCTTGCTGCACAGCAGGCTCCGAAAATAGGCGGGATCCGAGTGGAAGGCGACGTAGTTTCCCTGGAGCGGGGCAGTCTCATAGTTTAGAGGGGCTTTGCAAGGCGAGCGCACGATTTCCGGGTAGTGCGAGCCCGGGTATTTGCTAAAAACCTGAGGTAGATGGGCGGCGGGGCGCGCGGCGGCGGCGGCGCCCGGGCGCGGGGACTGCGCGCTGATTGGCAGCGGCCGCGCCGCTCCGCTCAAGCCCCGCCAAAGTTGGTGCTCGTCCTTCCAAAATCCCGGGCGGGGGCCCGCGGCGGCGGCGGGGACGCGCTCCGGCGGGGGCGGCGGCGGCGCCTGGGTGGCCGGGGCCCGGCCGGCTCGCCTGCGCTTGGTCTTGAGCACGCGCTCGGTTTTGCAGGAGGTGTAGAGCGCTTCCACGTCTTCCCGGGAGATGAGGGTGCACTTGGCGGCGTGGAAGGCGATGCTGTTGATCGCCTTGAGCTTCCGCAACTCCTCCAGGTCGCAGTGGTGCTTTTTCACTTTTAGATGATCCATGCGCTTGTGCACGGTCGTCCTCGGGATGTTTTTCAGCAGATCCGTGAAGACTTGGGAGAGGGCAAACATTTGCTTTCCTTTAATGATGAGGTAGCCGAGCCTCACGCCATCCACCTCTTCAAAACCTGACTTCAGGTCTCCCATCTCGGGCACTAAGCGATCCCCACCATTTGCAGTAAATATATACGTGACGCATACATACACATGTATGTATGTTAATCCTCCGCCAGATGCTGCGTGTGTCTCAAGGCATCCTGCTAATAAAATAACAAAGACTGTTATTCCCGGCGAAGGGAGTGCCAAACTCTAGTCAAAATTATTGGGGAGGGGGTTTGAAAAAAAAAAAAAGCCCCATGAAATTACACTGACTTGATTCTGGCTTTTTTTTGGTTCTCGTTTTTTTAAAAAAAGAGGGAAAAAAGACCATCCGGCTTCTGATCTGCCAGTGTGCTGGTGTAAGGCCCCGTTGCAGATCAGTACCTGGGCCCCTCTAGTCCTTCTTTCTCCATTGGAGCACTATGATAATGGAATGTGAAGGGAGAAAGAGAAAAGAAATGCAGCTGCTATTCCCGCCGCTGCTTTAGCTACAAATAAAATGACAGAGTGAAGTGAGCTCGTCCGGAGACACCTTCATCAATTAATTCCCCTAAAGCCAACGCTGATTGGACACTCCTGACAGGTGATGCAATAAAAATTGATATTCCACCCCTTCCCCCCAAAATCTCCCACTAATTAGCATACCCTTATACTGCCACCTCCCCTCCCAAAGTAAATAATACAGTCGGTATATAAATCTTTCCATTAAACTATCGGAGCTCAGAAACAGCCTGACTCGTAGACTCACAGACTTCATCAGAAGCAGCGTGTGCAAGCTTTAAAAAAAAAAGGTATATTCCCCTTTAAAGAAATATTGCCTCCTTTCTGCCTTATTTGCAATTTATCGATACAGCTATTATCATTTTAAAAAATCATTTTAGAAAACGTTACCCAGCCTAAATAGATACACCCCACCCCCTTTTCCTTTGGAAAATGGAGCTCGAGAGAAAATGTGCAGAATAGCCTGATATTTCCCTTATGGGAGTGAGGCAGGAGGGCGGCTGGGAGCTCCAAAGTTAAACCGCGCGGCGAACCACCCCAGTACCGACTTACGTGTGCAATTTCTGTTGATTTTCCTTTCTTTTTTTTTTTTTTTTTTTTCTGAGATGCCTTTTTTTTTTTAACAACCAGAAACAAAGTTATTTCATCAAGGCAGCAGTTCAAGTCTCCAGCTCCAAAACCCTGTAACAATTCAACTGGATTTCAGTTCTCTGCTGGGGGGTGGGGTGGGGAGGAGGTAGTTTCGCGTCAGACCCATAACAAAGCACAGATAAGCCAGACATGTGTACACTTTTCAGAATTAACCAGGCTGGAGGGAAGGTAGCATGGTCCTCAGCGCAGCTTTCGCCAGGGTTCTGTTCAGGACTGGTCAGAATTCCTGGGAGCAGCTCGCTTCCTCCCGCAGCAAAGAAAAGAAAATGTAAAACGCCCAAGGTGCTTCCCGAGGTTTTTACGTAACGACGATGAAAAGAAAGTGCTGCTGTGCCGTGCAGTCGCGTTCAGTGCTCTGTGCTGCTGTTGGGTGGTAGTTTACATGAATCTTCCACAACTCCCTTTTTTTTTTCTCCCATGAAATCCTGCTTTAACAAAATCACTTTGGATCAATATCAAAATGGTTTAACCTCTTCTTAGTCAAATTGAGGCACATTTTGGTGTTGTTTCCAAGGATATCCAAAATATTGCCAAATGAGTGCAGGGGTCTTCCCAGTTGCATTACCACTATCCCAAGGCAGTTTGTTGGCTGCTTTGCAAAATTTGGCAAAATCTTCTTAACTGTTCACTGTTTGCAACTACAGCATAAATGCAACCCAAGCATTTATACATTTCCTTGTTCCTCCAAAAATAGACACATCCGTGTGGTTAAAAGAATAAACGGATATTTCTGAGCCTGCAAGAAAAAAAAAATGATACAATAATTTCTTTCTTCACATTCAAAAGTTTCAGCTTTCCCTGCTCTGGTCTGATTAACACCAGAAGATATGACTAAAAGAAAAATTTTATATATAGATAGATAGATATGTATATCTATATAGAGAGATATACATATACACACAGAGGAATCAGATACACAAAAAGGTAGTTTGCTTGACAAGATGAAATCTCAGCCATAGTTCCCCACCCCCACCCTCATCTCTCTTGTAATTTCCCAGGAATTTTGAAGAGAATTGGGAATTTCGAGAAGTGCATCCGGAAATTAAGGAAGTCTATTTAAGAGAGTCTGCCGCTCAGGAGGCTGGGATTTGAAAAGTCAGCCCTGGACTACTGTTGCACTCAGCACAGATGTAATCGCCGCTCTTCAACTTAATCAATGTGTGTACAAACCACGATGTCTAGTTCTTGCCTTTGAAATCTAAGGCTAGCATTTCCACCCAAGAAATCAGAGCTACAGCAAATTACATTTTTGTCCCTTGAATGAAAGAAGGATCATTGAATGGATCTCGTGATATTTCAGGCTTTAAACGTAACCAAGAGGCAGCAATGAACAATGCCTCGTCACAGCTAATACCATCCACCGAGTTGGCTTTCTCTTGCATCTGGATCTATCACACCGGGTTTTTCTCTTTCATTTTCACAGGAGGCAAAATGCACAAGATCTCAGCAGAAGGCGAAGTTTCCTGGAAAAGCAGATGCTGGTGTTTGTTTTTAAAAGTAAAATGACCTGACTCTTTCCATTGCCAGCGACAATCATGTCGTTTTAGAATTCTTCCTGATGCACTTATATACTGCCAGCTCTATCCCTCCCACCCCACCTCCGCCCCTTCCCCTCCCCCAACTTCAAGATTTAGACCAAAGAGTCAAACAACCAAGAAATAGTAAACTCACAAAAAGCCTTTGAGAAGACATTACAAAAGGTTGGCTAGAGTGTCCATTTTTGGGGTGGGGGAGGGCACACCAGGTAGTTTTAGTTGTTCTCAATTCCTGTTTAGATTCACACACACACACACACACACACATACAAACACACTTCTATTCCTCTGACACACAGCAACATGATTTAGTAGCCATTTCAAAATTACCTTTTTGTTCCCTCCTTTTCTTACCTTTAAAATATTGGCAATATAGGTAGTTTTGGAAAGCAGTTTAAAATTAATTTTTCAAAATTAAAGGTATATAATCTGTCAGAGTAAATAGAGAAAAAATAAAGAGCAGCAGCTTTGGAAATGTGTCTATATAAAGTATTTATGTAAGTATCTCTATATGCACTCAGACACCTGTACACTTACACATTTTAATACCCCATTACACGTCTTCTTAATACATTCTTTTGTTCCTTTAACTTCCCCATCGTGTGTGTGTGCGTGTGTGCATAAGTGTGTGTGTGTTAGGTTGGAACACTTACCCTGGCATGTGCACACACACACACACACACACAGAATGTGACAGACAGCTTTCTTGTGGCCATAAGCACACGTTACATATCCGGGGTCTTCTCCAGGCACATTGGGGGTCGATCCCGATAAAAAGATCTGGCGGAGGCCCCTGAGCGCTCACACATGAAAGGCAGGGGACTTTAAGATGGATTTGCATGCACACCGGGGATTTCGATCAATAGCTACCAACATTTATGGCTTAGATTATTAATGCGAAAGCTGGCCAAAAGAATGGGGATGAAAAATTAAAGGTGTCTGTTATCAATTATGCTTAAAGTTATGCAATAATTTACTTACTTTGCCTGGATGTGCAGATCCAGATGTATAAAGTACTATTCTTCAAAAGCCAGGGGGTTTCTTTGATAAATTTGTTGACCATGTCAGCTCCCTCTACAATCAAAGATGAGCCTAAAATCAGATGATGGACCATATACAAATTCTTTTTTTTTAAGGAACAATGTATCAGCTTCTGTGTTTCTTACATATACATACATCTGTGGATGGATACATCTGGATTAACATTTATGCATATATCCATCTCTGGATCTAGAGAGTTGAGGCACACATATATGATGGTATGTACTGAATTTATTGATTAAATGTGATTATTTTCTCAGAGAAGAATGCATAATCTACATGCTATTAGAAAAAGTATCTTTTTGCTCAGAAAATAAAGCTGTTTGCTAAAGGAAACTCCTCCGCAGCAAATACAGATTGAAATATATTCTTAATGTCCACTTACTTCTGCATTTATTGTAAAAAATCAGCACTTTCAGTTTTTAAAGTGATGGGCTATAGAGATACGAACATATTTGTCTTTACTTACCCCATATGAATTGCTAAATTTACCTTCAGATGCTCTATTTTGATTTATTTTCACTGTATTTTATGTTTAAATACCATTGCAATTCAGTCTGACCTCTTCCCTCTGGAGCGAAGTAATGCACACGGCATTTACAGTCTTTTAAATGGTTAGCTGGGAAATGCAACAGCAATTTGCAGGAGTAGTTTACTAATGGGGAAAGTTCTTTTGAAAACCTGAAGGAAAACCGAAGAGTACTTTTGCATTTCTACACTACAACTGTCATATAATTAAAGTATTGAAGAGCATTAAAATAATCCCTTTCCTTCCAGGCTCTCACCCATACATACATAATTTAAATGAGGATCACAGACCCCACCACCACAACCTAACTCTTCACCATATACATTTGTTTTAGTGATTGCTGGGCACATTTTGTTCAAAGTAAATTCAGACAGAAAAGGGTAAGGAACATCACAAAGGACTCAACAATGTAAGTATACAGGTTAGCAGAATAAAAGGAGGCCCGTATACTATTCACTAAGTCACTAGAATACTTAACAATATAAAGTCTATAACAATAATTTAAAGTCTCATGTGGTTGAATTAGTGCAGTATAGGGTAATAAAATCCCAAACATTTCTTAGCAAAATTTATCTCATACCACACTCTCTCTGCTTTTTGGGAGGGGAAAATGAGAATGTAGGAGGGAAAAATGGCTAAATTGAAGAACTAATTAAATTATATCTTAGTATATTTTCTTTTTCTTTTTTTTTTTTTCTTATTCTCATCCAAACAAATCAAGAGAAGTCTCCAAAAGGGCCCATCCTTCTGTTCTTGGGCATTTAAAAATCCTGTCTTTAACAGAAGTTTGG